CAACCTAGAAGCAATGGCATCCAACCTACTAGCGATGGCCTCCAACCTAATAGAAACGGCCTCCAACCTAGAAGCAATGGCTTGTCTCCAACCTAATCTCCAACCTAGAAGCAATGGCCTCCAACCTAATAGCAATGGCCTCCAACCTAGTGAACATGTTCAAAAACATTGCAAAAATGTCTAATTCTGACTCAGCGAAGGTGGCCTGGTTCCGCTCGAAGGTGCCCATGCTGGTGATCAAACCTGGAGACAAAAGTCCAAATGTCGCCACGGAAAGATGTCGTCCTTGCTACTAGTAGCGTTCTTGTTCCTAGTACTAAGGCCAGGAGTAACGTCCTTGCTCCTAGTAGCGATGCCAGGAGCCCCTAGTAGCTTCTTGCTCCTAGTCCAAAATATGCCTCTTGTCCAATTTGTTCCACCAACAAGAGGCCAACGCGGAGAGAATCAAAGCCACCCACATAGATCAGCACCAGATTCCGCTGGATGTTCTGCAGCACAGCCCTGGAAGTCCAAATTCGGCTCAAACCCCAAGCCCCAAAGAGCCCAGGCGCACAAGCTACACAGCTCGGGAATCTTCTTCAAATCTCACACCTATTGTTCCGTCCATATCAAACAGTTGGAGCCCGGAACAAGAAGTGAAAAAGCCAGAAGTCAGTCAGTGTTAATATTTTTTGTGAGATATTCCCTGACGTGATTCCCCTTCAACTGCATCGCCCTTCCCAATGCACCTACACCGACCTACTGGATGCAGCAAAGTGTCAGGTTCTCGGCAGCCAAGCGCATTTTGGCTCCTGAAGGATCGACTGACGACGTCAAGGATCGCAAAGAAATGCTCGACTGACTCGACTCTCAAAGGATCCCAAAGGCACTTGTTACAAATAGCTTCTTGTTACTACTAGTAAGGCACTTGTTTCTAGTAGCGTCCTCTTGTTCCTAGTAGGATCCAAAAGACTTATTTGCCGAGAATCCCAGCAAAGTGGGCTCTTGCTGATAAGCCTGTTGTTGCACGGCATCACTCATTGCGAGAGCATACTGGTCAAATGCATCTGATCCGCTGAGAATTCGATTCAAGGCCTTGGATGTGCGCAAGGGTAATAGACTGGAATCTCATCTGCCTCTTGAAAAGTGTGTTGGGGCGCTCAAACGGCTCCAAAGGGCCAAGTGACTATCATGAAACATGGAGTTGACATATGAAGCAAAGAACGCTCCAAGGCCCACTTCCCATCCCCAGGTCCCCACATACCCATCACATCCAACATCTTTCTCACATGCCAAAACCTCTGTCCATCATCTTTGAGGAATCCCAAACCACCCGTGAAAGGCAAAAACCTGAAAACTCTCAATGGATAGAATAGACTTCACAGCTGAACGCCTCGAGAAACCATACAAAAGTGAATCCCACTTGAACATGTCAAAAACGACAGTCAATCCTCTGCCAAGCACCTCCGGTGTGTTCGGCCCTAGCGCTTCTTGTCGAAGCCTGCTCGTCTTTGCACAGGGCAAAAACAGTTGTTGGCCGTCCAGCTTTACTAGTGATGCCAGGAGCTACTAGTGATGTCCTTGCTCCTAGTGGCGATGGCCTCCAACCTAATAGCGATGGACTCCACCCAGTGGCTTTTCAAGTACTAGTAATGCCAGGAGCTACTACTAGCGTCCTTGCTCCTCGCGGCGTCATGGCCTCCAACCTAATAGCGATGGACTCCACCCTAGTAGCGTCCTTGCTCCTAGTAGCGATGGCCTCCAACCTAACAGCGATGGCCTCCACCTAACAGCGTCCTTGCTCCTAATGGCAATGGCTTCCAACCTAATAGCGATGGCCTCCACCCTAGTAGCATCCTTGCTCTTTGTAGCGATGGCCTCCAACCTATTAGCGATGGCCTCCAGCCTAGTAGCGATGGCCTCCACCCAGTAGCTTTTTGTAAGTAGTAGTAATGCCAGGAGCTACTAGTAGCGTCCTTGCTCCTAGTCGCGATGGCCTCCAACCTAAGAGCGGTGGTCCTTCTTGTTCCTAGTAGTAACGCCAGGAGCTACTAGAAGCGTCGTTGCTCCGATAGCGATGGCCTCCACCTAGTAGCTTCTTTTCACTAGTAGTAATGCTAGGGGCTACTAGTAGCGTCCTTGCTCCTAATAGCGATTGCTGGTAGCTTCTTGTTACCAGTAGTAATGCCAGGAGCTACTAGTAGCGTCCTTGCTCCTAGTAGCGACGGCCTCCAACCTAATAGCAATGGTCACCACCTAAAAGCTTCTTGTTACTAGTTACTAGTAGTAATGCCAGGAGCTACTAGTAGTGTCCCTCCTAGTAGCGATGGCCTCCAACCTAATAGTGATGGCCTGCACCTAGTAGCTTCTTG